CATGCTAAAAATAACTAAATTGCTGTACATATATATATATATAAAAGGCAAAGCCCTCACTGACTGATACACTCACTCACTCACTCATCACTAATTCTCCCACTTCCTATTTACCTAGGAGGCTGAAATTTGGTACACTGATTCTTTAGGCATTAAATAAGAAAACTAAGTTGTTTTTATTCTGATCGGACTCTCGGGCTCCGCCCCAGGGGCTCTGGAGTTTCCCATGTTAACCTTATGTACTCATATTTAAATGGAATTAATGAATCTTAACAGCTGTTTCGATGAAACAAGTTGGTTCTGTTCTATGATGTGCAATGGCATTAAAGTTACAAGTACTACCAACAGGGTGCAGCACTATTTTTTTTTAAATTTATGACAATAGCCAATTTGCAACCAAAAGGTGAGTGAGCGTAGCGAACAAACTTCAACCTGGAGGCAAGTTAGCGTGGCGAACGAGCTAACCTGAAGGCAAGTGAGCGCAGCGAACGAGCTCCAACCTGTGAGTGAGCGTAGCGAAGGAACTTCAACCAGGACGTGATTGAGCCATGCGAACAAGCTCACTTATGAAGTTAAACGGGGCAAAGCCCGCGGGTACAGCTAGTCTATAAATAAAGCTCAAATACCACTGACTCATTCATTCATTCACTCACTCATCACGAAATCTCAGAAACCATAAGACCTGGGAACCTGAAACTTAGGAGGCATCTTCCTTTTGGGTAGTAGACGCTCACTAAGAAAGGATTTTACCCTCCGACCTCTGGGCTCCGCCCCAGTGGCTCTGGAGTTTCCCATGTTAACCTTATGACAGCTGTTTCAATTAAACAAGTTGGTTCTGTTCTATGATGTTCAATACCATTAAAGTTACAAGGATTACCAACAGGGTGCAGCACTATTATTTCTTTCACTAATTGCCAACCAAAACCTGGAGGCGAATTAGCGTAGCTAACGAGCTAACCTGAAGGCAAGTGAGCGCTGCGAACGAGCTCCAACCTAAAGGTGAGTGAGCGTAGCGAACGAGCCCTAACCTAAAGGTGAGTGAGCGTAGCGAACGAACTTCAACCAGGACGTGATTGAGCCATGCGAACGAGATCATCTTGAAAATTAAGAAGTTAAACGGGGCATAGCCCGCGGGTTACAGCTAGTATTAAGATAAAAGAGGTGAAAAGTATATTGAAAGTGTTGCGTAATTATGGTTTAGCAATTAGGCATATGTGTTGTTTTTGTTTAATATAAAACGGGGGTATTTTTTAATTCAACCAAACAAAAAAAACTAATTACTCTTTTACACTGTTGCTATCTGGTGATAAAAATTAGGAAAATCCTTAATGACGCCAATCCACGCACCTTATACGTAATCGCATTAGCATTTAAATTGTTAATTTCCGTAGACGATCAGGTGTTGGCTAAATGGAGCGAGGGGTCTTATAATAGACAACCCCCGTTGCTTTATACTTTTCTAACATGAAATGAGGCTCAATATAGTGACATAAAGCATCAATAAACAAATACACACAATAAACAATTATATGTGACATTTTAATACATGCTTACTTGATTGAGACAATTTGGTCCATTCCATAAGAAAGTGTTTATCTCCTATAACAATAGCTTCTCTAATAACCATTAAATCTCTCTTTAACTGAAAACTTTTATTTTAACAATCTTTTATTTAAAAAAAGAATATTTAACCACTTGCCATGGTTAGAGAAAATACCAAAAATTAACACAATATGCAAATCTATTTGAAGGCAAGAAGACCCTAGTTCTGTTTATATAAATTTTATATAACTATACTCACTTTTGTTAAGGTTCCCTCAATAACTGTGCAAGTTGCATATTGGATTTTCTAGCAGACATTATCAAAATTAAAAATAATCTTGTTTAGAAAATATTCCACAAATTTCCTACCCAAAATTTTAATTGAATTTCTTCCTAAATAAAAACAAAAGCAAATAATCTGTAAAATACTTTATTGTATATTAGTTTTATTTACATGCCAAAGTTATGCAGGTACGTTATTTTTATGACAAAATTTTAGAGAATGACCTCAATTCATTAATGTAAAACTACCCATGGTAGGAGCTTTAGTTCGATTCTTAAGAAGTTGTATCATATAATACAATTTAATTTCAATATATTTGTATAATATAAATCAAGATGTCTTAATGACAAGTAAGATGGAATATTTTATCAGTAAGAATAATACAAGAAACATCAATTATCTTCAATCGACATTAGCCAACCTATGGTCTTTGAAGTGGTTTCCTTCCTTCAGTTAAGGGAGTCTCGCCAAAACCACAGAACCTATAATAATGAACCACAACTGCAGGGACCACTGAGACCATTATTACTGACTATGGATGTGTAATTATGGTGTTCATGTGCTAGACCACACATTAATATGGTACTTCAAAGTGATATTTCCTCTCTTCGAATTATTTTGAATGGATATAATAACTAATTATGCCAACTCTTTACGAATTAGGTAACTAGTAAATATCCAAGCAATGGGTGTTTAATGATTGTATCAAGAAGTTTAATTGTCAAGGAGCTATGAACAAAGTCATAGTGGATTATTGGGAAATATTTTTGCACTTTATACGAATTGTGGGTTGGAATTTATCGAGGTTCCTGTCAAAAGCTAAATATATTTACCAATTGCAAATGCAAATAGTTCTAAACATTAACGAGGTGACAGTTTAGTAGTATACAATGAAAAGCGATTTTCAAGTTTCTTTAACAGTTACCCTATTAAGAAAAGAAGGTGGTTGTGTTTATTGTAGATGGTCCAAAAACGTTAATGAGATTCTCACTCCCAGTTTGAATACACTCATGCCCATAGTCATACTATACTCGTATCATATACTCATACTAATACCCAGTTAGGTGTTAATCTTTTGAGAACTCCCTAAATATTCAAGTGCTTTGAATAAAATCCGTTAAGGTATAGTCTAACTGCTACAAAATTATATGCAGTGTGCAAAAATAAAAATAGTTTTTCTAATGTAAACCCATAAAATATTTATGTGTATGTAGTGTGTTTCTGGAACAGTTTTTGTACAATTTTTCTATATCATTAACGCATAGTGTTTGTGTTGTGTGTGTTGTGTGCGTGTGTAAGTGCTCAGTACACAGGACAGCGCCGGTTGGTCGCGACACTAACAAACATTGTCTGCCAGCCCAAGATGTTATGTCCATCCCCCTTCGTATTATCACCCCATATTTTAATATTGTTAGTAAACACATTATGCATTCAAGCAGCGTAAGCCTTCAACAGGGCCTCCTTTCTTCGCGACCATTTTGAACATTCAAGAATTATCTTTGTGCAAAATGACTTAAGTAGGGTTTCTTATTTATATGAATGCATTAAACATAAAATAAACTCAAAAGGGAAGCTTTTATTACAATTACTAGGGCTTCAAAAGGTTTGCAGAATTATTACCCACAAGTTCAGCCAAATGTGATGGTTCATTTAGAAATCCGAAAGTGAAATAGCTCACACAAATTAAAACAAAATATAGTGAGTGAAATTCTTAAGCCTCTTTAAATACACTCTTTAATAACACAAATGGTTTTGTTTTAAAGCATCATTTCAACTTGAAACAAGGGTTTGTCATTATCCTTTGGATAAAATCATAATATCTTCATTGTGGTGCTTGAAAGGACACTTGACTAATTATTGACTGTTAAAAAATGATTTTCCTATTTAATGTAAATTCAAACTATTCTTAAGTGAGCATATTACTAGCAGTATGACTTACACGATGACAAATCCACCAGTAAATCTTTACTATAATTCAAAATTAAACTTAGTATTTTGTTTAAGCTAACAACCTGTTATTGATGAATTAATACGAATCCATCATATATGTAAAACTCTTCTTCGTGCTAAGTAAGTTTTATCTAGCTTTCATAGTTAATATTTGAATTGAATTTGAAAAGCATCTTGGTGTACAAATAGTTTCAGTACAAACAGTAAGTTCTGAAAGGATGAAAAATTGATACTATAATTTTTAAGTCCACTCTCTACAGCACTCTCTAATCATGTAATAAATTCAGTTGATTACCACACCCAAACTGGTAATAGCTATTTACATTACAAGTGTAGTAAGAGCGTTTTTACATCACGCAGGTGAATGTTGTGCAACGAGCGAAGGCGAGTTGCATAATTCACTGAAGTGATGTAAACACGCTCTTGCGTAACGTGTAACGTACAAGATTTTACCTGACCCGACAATATTCAGGAGGTTACGAGCAATATACTTCATTATCAATTTCACTCATCTTCTAACAGTAACGTTCATTTACAAACAAAAGCTAGGTTAGGAAAATTCTTCAAAGCATAACAATAAAATTCAAACACACAGCTGATTTCTAGCGTTGAACGTCGTTGGCTCCATAGAGGTATATTTTTTAAGTTATCCACTCAATGTTATTTAAATGGGTTTCATTACATCACCGAGTGAGTTTTTTCCAACTTAACATCACTCGAGAAGTAAGGAAGTTGTATACATCACGCTTGGGATAGGGAAGTTTAACATGGCGGGTTAGGTAAAACATTAAATCCACCGCGAGTGCACTACAACATAGACCATATCGCACTATATTTCACTGTAGGGCCAGCTGCATGGGACGTGCACTCCACTTGGAATAATCGGCTCTCCACGCTGAATACCAAGTGTTGTGCTGTGTTGTTGATATCTCCCATGGACAACTGGGAAATTGAAGCATTCAAAATTGTATTGAATTTATGATAAGTAGCAAGAAAAATTTTAAATTAACTTTACAATGATGTTCAAGTTAATGTTTCTTTTAATTGGGATACTTTATTACTACGACCTAAACCCTTTTATGTTGGGCAGTTATAGTATTGGGTAGTTTCTCGTTTTTAGAGAGTGAAAGCGAGGGTTAAATGAATTTAGAGTTCAAATTGAAATGTGTCATATTAAGTGAACACAAACAAAACATCGACTTACACAACTAAAAACATTAAGTCCCTATGGTACAGGAAATATTTCTTTAGTACAGTAAGCTTTGATGGTTCTCATAATGTTTACAGCTCCAAAGTACAACAATCTCCACATACATGTAACACTGAAACCGAGAAACACTCCGAGAACTCCAAGACTGTAAGCGAGGAACTCAGCGAAGCTGGTGATGCTGTATCTGATAGTGGTGTAGAAAGTCTTCCCTCGCATCATCACCTGAATGTAAGCGCGAGGAGTCGAGTTGGTTTCCTCCATCAGAGGTCCTGGGGTCTCTTGGGTAATAAGGTCGTAAGTAAGATAGTTGCAATCTGGTAGACAATCACATTTGTACTTGGGTCTACTACAAGGATGAAGACACACCTTCACTGAATCATTATGTCTAGGGTAGAAGTAGGGCAAGCAGCCACACGACATCAAATATAGTTCCACAATGCATTCTAACTCACAGTTTCTCTTTGTGTAGGATTTAAACAGGTGCAGGTTCTTCTCGTGGGCGAACAAACATCCACGTTGACGAGGTGAGTACTGTGCAAGATCACTACGAGCGAGGGAAATTCTTGGAGCGACTGCAACATCAAACATCTTCATGAATCTGACGTTTTTTCGAAGCATGTGTTCTATTTCGTTATCAAAGTAGAGTGGAATTTCATTCGGGCTGTGGATGATTACGGAGGGGACGTCTTTGCTGAGATGGGTACAAAGATTTTGGTGGTTTTCTTCCTGTTTGTGAACGACAAGAAGGATTTCCTCTAGACCGTAAATAGGCACAGTATCTAAACTACCGCGAAAGTCCATCATGTTATCGTAAGACCATTCCGTGTACCTTGAATTTCTCGGGTTTCCCGCCACAACTGAAGGGATTACCACATTTGGTCGGAACATGTGAACATGTGGTAGGCTGTTGAAGGTCATGCACAGCCGATTTTGATTGAACGAGAAGAATTGTTGAAATACCTTTGAGTCACATCTGGAATATTCAATCATCTCTTCCTTGGAGTGTGATAATTGTAAGGTTATGACATCTAATTCACAGGGAGGGAATAAAGATTTCATGTAAACATCAAACTTATTTCCTTCTATCGCTCCAGGAACGTGGGCAAAAAGCTTTTCCAACAACGGATCATCAAATCCGTACTTGGGGCACATGATGTTGGCTAAAGCGAGAGTCGCCATTTCATCGAAATCACAACTTGTTGTGAAACTGCTTTGGTTCATTGCAGGTTTTAGGCATCTTTCAATAGCAAAATCTAAATCATATTCTTGCTTGAACCTGTTGGGAAAACATATTGTCACAGCTGGGAATGAAATGTTTTCAAAATGTACTTGACTGTTAGAAAGTGCTTGAACCACAGGAGAGGATTGCCATGTGCTGTAGGAGTTTCGGATGTATATTGAACTTATAACGATTGATAAAATGTTTACTAGTAAGAATGAAAAAGTGTAAATTTTATTTTGCTTTACGGTCATACAACATGAAGGCTTATAACTATGAAATTGATATTTTCTAAGTTGCTTGAATGTACGGTTAGGATTAAAACCGTCGTTACAATTTGATATCGTCGTTTTTCTAAGTTTACTTACATGTTTGTCTACACAATCATCGATTTCTGCAAGTCTAAACTGTTTTGGTAATACTTTGTTCTTTGTGAAATAGATTTCATTGTTTTGTTTTTCTGTCAACCTTTTAATTTGTTCTTGCTGTTTTATGAAGCCTTTTTCCAATGCGTGAAGTCTTGTTGAGATAATTTTTAGTTGGGCATTTTCCGTCATTGCTTTAGTTGAACTTGACATGTATCAATTCCTGTTTCATAAATATCAACTCACAGGTTGGTACACCGCCAAAAAATCAAAGAAACTGTAAGCAGTACACAAAGAGTGTTTTGTGTCACGCAACAAACTTAAACTCAAACATTTCTCCATTGTTACAACATATTGTAATCATCATTTAGGTGATCTTAAACCATCTGGTCTACTGTCCGATATAATAGGTACTGAGGCAAACTGTTCAATATCGCATGATTCTGATATCTTGATATACTCGACGTTCGGTTGTAACAACTGTTATTTACTTTATTTGGCTGGTGTTGTTCGTTGTTTGTTGATGAATTGGGTTGCAACTAACGATTGACAACGAACTAGAGGCTAGTAAATTAACAATAAAATCCCTAGTTTACAACTTCTTACTTTATTCTACAATGTTTGTATGATAAAACTGACAGTTTTAAGTCATTATCGTGAGAAGGCATGAAAAATATATGTTTTAAAGTATGAAAATGTAGACTTGATAAATTTGTTTGAATGTTATCGATCTTTCAAAACGCTGAATAAACTATTTTCAGTTATAATACTGAAGTAGACCTCCCATCTATATGGACCAGCTGTAGCCAATTTTTCTATTAAAAAAGAATGTAGTTGTATGAGACAGTCACAGAATGCGCTAGTGTCTAAAATTCTATTTTATACTTTATTTATTTTTTGCTGACCAGGTTGATGGGTCATAATAGTTGCTATAGCTCATCATAGGTCAGACTTGGTAAAAAAGTTTGTGTATTTGACAGAATTTAGTAATTTAGATCATTCAGCGCAATCTGTAGGTGGCTCACATTAACTACGACGATTTTGATAAAAAATAATGGCTACAAATTTAACATGGTGATGGAATGTCTAGTACCTACTCTTAGAGCTTAGTTCATTTAAGTGATTAAGAATGATACTTCTTCGCATTCTTAGGAATCGGATTTGCTAACCCTTGCAACATACTGGAAACTACAAAAAATAATGTGATCAAATAAAAAAATCTCTAAATATATTTACATACTTTTTACATTCATTCCACGTTATCAACCATGTAAAACTAATGTAACTGACACAGCCAATGTTTATGTGGATTATCGAAGTATATAACACAACATGTGGATACATTCCCTCTGTATGATATGGCGTCAGGCAATTCTCATGTGATTACATCAGATCAACTTAGCTCGTATCCTTGAAGGGTTACTGTAAAGGATCAAGGAACATTACCTCTAACTGTCTGCCTCTGCAGAGTTAATAGAACCACTTCTAGTTATTCGGTTAATGGGGTTTCTATTTAAAAATTCTTCTTGAAAAACGACTGAGTGTGGTAAATTTTCCTTAGTTCTTTTAAAACTTAGGATTTGTAAGGACTTAGAATTTAGGATAATATTTTGATTTGTAAATTGGTTTCAACCATGAATATAAATAATTGAATCGTGAATATACTAGGTTGACTGGATTGCTCTCAATTAACATAGCAGTTTAAAGGTCAGGCTGAATTGGATCGAAATGGTAATAGGTGAGAATAGTAGTTTTACTTGATTAATGTAGCCTATAATTAAATGCAAATAATGGTTAGACATCCTTCAAGATTTCAATATTATGGGGAAAACTTAACCTATTGCAAGATTTTTACATGCATTTACAATCAATTCTGATTCAATTTTGACTATCTACAAGGATTATAAAATATGTTGAAGACAGTAAGCTCTCCCCTAACTAGTAAGAGGAAATAATTGAAAGAAGAAAAGAACAATTAAGTTTTTCAAGACGAAGACGTTAAACTGTAAAGTGTGATTAATTAATGTCTGAAACAAACTTCGCTTGAACCAATGACGTTGATGGGAGACCATTTGGTTTATTTGTCAGCCATCGAAACTCTTATTAAAATGGTAAATTCCGTTATACAGAATTTTAGTCTTCTACCCTTTTGTGGTCTGCAAAATCTTAAAAGGTTCAGCAATTTTCTGAAATCCATTCCATTATAAAAGTGGCTGGTTTGGGTGAATAAAAAGCTTGACCGTGTGCAAAAATATTATCCCACATGTATCAGAAAATTTATGTATTTACGATTCGTACGATCGACGGAAATACTTACCCCCAGCGTACTTTAAAATGTTGCCAAAAAAACCATGTATGGAAAACAAGTTTGAAAAACACTATAAGCTCAAGTAAGTTACTAAGATTATTTAACTAAAATGTACTTTGGGTAGAAAAGTACTTGTATTTCAAGATGAAATTGAATGCATCCAAAAGAGATTTGTGGGCCAATATTATTTCCTTAGGCCGGTCTGTTCTCGTGTTCCGTTCCATTCTCGGACTCCTTTTATACAAGAATTCCTTGACGAAGGAGTTTCGAGAATGATGAATCCTTCTAAGTTTGTACGAGTTGTTACAATTTGTTAAAGCTTATGGCCAAAGATTAACTCATAGATGTTAATTGTAAGTTCATTTACCCCTACAAAATTAATCATTATATAAAACTCTTTTTGTTTCCTCTTGTTATGTGCATCCGAATTTGTTTTAATTCTGCACATGATTTACTAAATGATTCTAATAAACAACTTTTGTCCTAGATCAAAACTGATTATAGACAGTGAAATACTCATACATTTGTAAATTAAAATAATTTGATGGTTTTATAAAACCTATGCGTTATTTAAACTACGAAAGTCTAATATTTTTAATTGTAAAAAACTATTTATTTTTAACCAAGATATTTGATCGAGAAGACATCTTTGGGCAAGACATTGCGGAGGACACGGAAGATGAGTTTTTAATGCGACCTAACGCTAAAGTGATGACGCAACTTAGGAACTACCCTACTTTACTCCTCACTTACCCTTGGGACACATTCGTATTTGTAGTTTCAAGTGACACTTTAGAGGGCAATAGAAGGTGTCCAGTCAAAACAGAAATAATTTATTTAGGGACCTTGTTCTGTTGATAAAAGTGAATAAAAAAGTTGTTTTTAGAGAAATTTTTATTAGTTTTTCGTTTTATTATTTTCATATTTTATTGAAACATTTCTTATTAACCGGGACAGAAATTTTCATCCATTTTTAATAATGAAGTTGGGGTGTAATATAGATGGATTTATATGCAGCTTTGAAAAATACTTGCCAATAATATTTACTATTACAGTTGTAACAATGACCGTTAGTCTAACTATACAGGGTGTTTCCAAATTGTCTGGCCATATTTTGTGGACTTGGTCCTTGGGCTAAGACAATCATAAAATGCCATAAAGTATGGGTCTAAAATCCCTAGATTTCTGTCTGTCTGTTAGTGATTATTTTAATTATTTTATATCTTAAGCATTTTTCAGGATATAAATTTCGAAATTGGGATAAATGTGTAGTTAATAAGGTAAAAAGACCTTAAAAATTTGTTAAAATATCTCAAGCTAAGTTAGTATAAAATGCTTATTACAGTTGTTATACTCAAGCTTTGCGTTTGCAATGGGGAAGGACACAGTTTGATAAAATTTGCTTCTTTAAATTTACCGTATACTATATTAACTTATTACAGATCTACCATAGCCATAATGTTGTACCGCTTCACCTAAACAATACAAAAAATTATTAAAAATTCGCAAAATATCACAAATTATTCATGAAATTAAAAACATAAACATAACTGTAAACAATCCTACTTTGACAGTTCGCATTGTGTATCAGAGCTTTTTGTTGCTGCTTAATTCAAATTAGCGGTTGTAATAATTGATAAAAAATAATAGTACTGCACCCTGTTGGTAAACCTTAGAATCAACTTGTTTTTTTTTTTTTTTAACAGACGACAAAATTATTAAATTATTTTAAAATATTAATACTCATAAGGTTAACATGGAAAACTACAGAACCACTGGAGCAGAGAGATAAGAATAGGCCTATGTTAATCGGGAATGTGAGCTATCATCATGCCAAATTTCAGCCCAATCCGACCAGTAGTTAATGCGTGATTGAACCCCAATCAAACAACACACAAACTTTCACATTTATAATATAAATATGATTATTGACTAAGCAATAACAGTTGATATGTAGATTTGATATGTGGGGGACTAATCTGCAAGCAAAGTATGTAAAGATTGCAGCTGATGTAGATTGAAAGATAGATTTTCTTTTTCTATTTTAGGGTTTAGGATGTTTTTCAAGATCCATTGAATATACGAATTTTATTTTTTAATTATTATTCTAGCTACCTTCATTTGTGCTTTGGCACCTCTTGTGTATAAGTGAAGAAACTAAACAAAAACTAAATTTTAAGACGATTAAATAATAACGTACAAATTGGGAAATTCGTATTTTCCCTGAGGTTATTTTAATGTCAATTCCTGTCTAATATAGAAAATGCCATATTACCCTCACATGAGA